GTGGTGATCCAACWGGAACTGGCTATGGTACAATGAATACATTTAAATGATGCTATGATAGATAAGTTAAAAAAGAGATAAGGTTTTAGTTTGGTCATACATTGATAAGAATTTCCTTTATATGTTAGGTGGTGAGTCCATTTATGGCAAAAAATTCAAGGTATATTATACTATACTAAATTCACTCAATATTGCGACAATTCAAAAAGTAATAATACTGGATTTAATGCTCTTATTGTACCTGTAATTAGACAATCCTTTATAAATCAATAGATTTTAATATTGAACTAAATATTCAGGATGAGTTCCACCAGAGAYTAAAGTTCAATAGGCGTGGCCTGGTTGCTATGGCAAACTCGGGACCCAATGATAATGGAAGTCARTTTTTCTTCACGTTAGATAGAACTGATGAACTGAATGGGAAACATACCATATTTGGGAAGGTATTTKTATGATTATGATTCATAACGATAAAGGTTATCAGTTTGCGTCGCTGTGGACATGTTAGTGGTTCTTAAACCAAAGATTTCTGTTAAGGCCGATTTAGACGGTGCAACTATTGCATGCAACACGTGTGAGTCATCCTTATAACATGGCTACAACTGTCGTAGGGTTATCAATTGTTTTTAATCTCTACAACATGTTGTAGCCATGTTGTAAGGATGACTTACGCATGTTGCATGCGACAGTTTTAAGCAAAAGTTGTACCGTCTAAATCACCCTTAGTGTCTAGTACTTATTCAGCTAACAGGTCAATGTTTAAGATTAAGGTTTAAAAGAAGTTTGTCACTAAAGAGAAATAACAGCAGCAATATCAGGGGGGAGGGGTGTGTACTTAGCAGACTAAACTGTATAAGATATATTCTATGGAGGCAATGCCATAAAGAGGGTTCAATAATGCAATATAACTAGTTGTTATCCCCCCCTCTAGGAGCTGAGACCAAGGTGGCTTATGGGATWTACTACTAATGATAGAATAATAATTATTGATTAATTATCTGGCTTGATATACTTTCAGATAACAGGGAATACTATATTCAACATGTTRAAGATGGCTGATCTGGAAGTTGATGACAATGACCATCCATATTACCCACCAAAAATAAAGAGGACTGAGGTATCCGACATGCTTTCTTTCAGTTGTACTTCATCATGAACTGTGCCCACTTTTTGATGCCATTATTGTCGTAATAAAGATGCTGGCTCCTTTACCAAGGAGGGGAATTTCTCTCCCTGGAGTTTTTTTTCATATATTTGTTTGCAAATAAACTATGCCAGCTTCAATGATATACTGAGTATTCTATTGAATCAATTATTTATGTTAATTTGATATTGTGTTGGTTCTAGGTCTTATCAAACCCCTTTGATGATATTGAGCCAAGAAATTTAAAACACAAGAAAGAAGAAACGACAGCTGTGAAGAAACCAAAAGTCAAAGGCACAAAGTAAAGAGGAAAAGAGTGTCATTTTAGAATCACACAGTACTTAAATTAGTGTTATTAATGCCTTGGTATTTGGGTGATGTTGTTCAAACTCCATAGGTTTTTTAGAGTTAACCTAGGATTACAAACTCCATAGGTTTTTTAGAGTTAACCTAGGATTACCTGCACTAATCAAGCCCTGCATATAGTCAATCTTTATATAATTAGACTTTTCTTTTGCTTTTGTTAAGGAATTTTAGCTTGTTATCATTTGGCGAAGAAGCAGAAGAAGACGAAGAAGAAGTAAAAACCGTTAGTAAGGTAATTGTTATCAAATTTACAGTAAAAGTAGTGTTGGGCTTCCTGTGGCGGGGAAGGCACAGGAATCCCAACAGTTGAGGGTTTAGGGGAGCTGAAGAATGTAAAAAAGCTGATAATAAAGTTTGAATATCAAAAGGGTCTTAAGATGAAGAGCAGCCATGATATCCTTGATGATCCCACGTTGAGCAAGGARTCGTTGCAAACAGAGCAGCAACCATTGGTGAGTCATCTTTGTTTGGTCTCAATGAAGACTCCCAGGAAAAGAGAGACACTTTTCCTCACTCTGATTGTTTAACGTGTTTTAATAGAAAGATCCAGCAAAAATAACTGACGATGTACGACAAAAGTTAAAAAAACGTCCAGTAGATGATGAGGAAGAGGACGATGAAGACAGTGATGAAGAAGTGAAAAATAATTCGAAAAAAAGGTACCGAATACACCTTTTCAGTTGCACTTAGGCCTAGATAGCAAGTTAATTATTCTTTTGAATTTGACAAATGAGACTACACCTAATTGAAGAAACGTTGTAGGGTCCAAAAAGGTCAAATCATAGAAGCTAAGACCGAAAAGGTACTTGGGAAGACAAACAATTTGGCTAATTTCATAACAAACATCTCTCCAGCATAAAAGACTACACCTAATTGAAAAAACGTAGTCGTGTTCGAAAAGGTCACATCATAGAAGCTAAGACCGAAAGGGATTTTGAGTACCACTAAATTGGGATTACATTTGCATATACGGTGTACACTAAGCAAGTAGAGCTAGTACGATTAACAGCATGCTAGTCTTGTATGCTGGAGAGCTGCTTGTATGAAATTAGTCAAATTGATTGTCTTCCCAAGTACCTTTTCGGTCTTAGCTTCTATGATTTGACCTTTTTGGACCCGACAACGTTTCTTCAATTAGGTGTATCATGCTGTTAATCTTACTAGCTCTACTTGATTTACAGTACACCGTATATGCAAATGTATAAATCCCAATTTAGTGGTACTCAAAATCCCTTTCGGTCTTAGCTTCTATGATGTGACCTTTTCGAACAAGACTACCTTTTTTCAATTAGGTGTATTCACATCAATGTTTGCATTGCTCACATTCCTACAAATTCAAAAGAATATTTAACACGCTGTCGAGGCCTAAGAGCAACTGAAAAGGTGTAGTTGATGGATTATTGATAACCAAGGGTTGTTTGTGATTTGCTTGTGTGTTTTGCTTCCAGATTGAAAGATTCTTGGATTCTTTCTTTCTTGTAATCTCAATTTTGTTTTAAAACAGCGAGCAACTACGAGAAGAGTCCAAAAAACTTTTAAAAGAAATAAAAGAATCCAGGAARAAGCCACGTAAATCAAGCGAATCAAAGGATGAAAAACAGAAGGCAAAAGGTAACACCTTCCGTTAATAACTTTTTTACAACTTGTTTCCGACAGTTCACTTTCCAGCAATCTTCTGATTGCGTTAGCTCAACCAAAACACAACAGAGCACAGCATCACAGAACACAACACAACACAACATAACAGAAATCAAACTATATAACAAACAAACAAATATTATTGCAGATCACTTATCAGAAGTTGTAGCTGAATTTCGCGCTGAAAGGGAAGATTTCATGGCAAAGAATAGAGGCTCCATTAAAGCGAAGGGTGATGGACGTAGCGAACAAACGTTTTCTTTGCTAGCTGATTTCCAGGCAAAACTTGATGATGAGGGAGKGGAGGGTGAAGAKGAAAGTGACAACAYTGAAGCTGATGATGATATTGGATGGTAAGCTATTTGGATTTATGTTTTTGTTTATATAAACTGTTAAATTACTYACTCTAGACGCTCTTGACTGTTTTTCTTTATTTTCAAGGATGTCGCACGCTCTCAAATGCGATGGTCCAGGACAAAAAGTMAAAGATGCTAACGTACAAGATGAAGACACTTATGAGATATTCGACCCTCGTAATCCGATTAACAAAAGACGGCGCGAGGCAAGTAAAGAGACGAGTAAGGCCAGGAAAAGACGATAACATTAAATTAATAACTTGTAAATATTTATTGATAATAAAAGGAATAATGCTTCATCTTTTGTATTTTTTCTGTATAGCTTGATAAAGTATTGTAATAGGTTACGCTGTGTTACATCCAGAATTTCTATCGAAATTAGATAGAAATTCCGGATGTAACACAGGCTGTAATAGGTCAGAATACGTAAATCCAGATCCGTATGTCAAATTTGTATAAGAATGGGCTGGGCGAGCACGCGGTGGATTGTTTTACAGGTTTTGTGATTTTGTGTGTTTTTTATGTTTTGTTTGTTTTATTCTTCTTGCTTGTTGTTGTTGTTGTTGTTTGTGTTGTTGTTGTTGTTGTTTGTGTTGTTGTTGTTGTTTGTGTTGTTGTTGTTGTTGCTGCTGCTGTTGTTTTTCAAGTATTTGATCCAGATTCGGACGGGGACGTTCCGTTGTACCTATAAACCCTATTCAAGACGACAAAATCATGAAATCCATACCCTWTTCAARACACTGAAATTGGTAAAA